AAGCAATATATTTCTGTGGCAGGAAGAAACATGGGCATTTTAGAGAGGAATTGAATTTTAAGCAGCAGTCTGCAGTCCCTGGACAGGCAAAGCTCTCATTGACTTTGATGGGAGTTTTGCCTGTCTAAGGACGATGCAAGCGAATCCTATTTATGTTCTTAATCTGTTTTTCCTGCCTTCAGGGGCTTTAGGAAATGAATCCTTAGCATGTGAGAGAGACATTTTCTGTAATATTTTTAGCAGCACAGCTTAGATGCACAGTAATCACAGAAGCCTGCGCAGGTCTAAATAGGGCTTAATTTTATTTTAAAATGTATAATGTACTCTTCCAAATCTGCCCTGCTCGTTTTACCGACTAGACCTTAAATTTGATAAACTGGACCTGAATTATTTCGTGATGACAATTTTCATTTGCGTTCACGGTGCAGTGGGTGTGGGAGAGGCACACAGATTAGTGTATGAGAGAGGGCTAACATTCTGCGTTCTCTGCCGGGCAGTCCAGTGAATGCTCGGAGCATCTTCTCACAGGTCTCGTCCCACGCTGTGTATCGCAGCCAGTACAACACACATACTCTTGGGTTTGCACTCTGCTGGCACTTCACGGAGTGCTGAATTCAAGCAGTGTGGAGAGAAAGGACAGGAGGGACAAACAGGCAACCCCAGTGTTCATTCTGTACCCCGAACTGCAGGTTAGAAGGTATGAAAGTGGTCACAGTCCTCAGACAAGATTTGGAGGTCATGTTGGAAAGAAAGTCCCAGTGTCGAAATCTTAATCTGTTCCCACCGATGTTGGCTAACAAACTGTTGATCAAATTTTTCCGTAGGAGCAATGACCATGGCTTTGCTGGAAAACCTTGTAGCAGGAAACATCTACTTGGTCAAAATAGCAGCCTCCAACGAAGTGGGAGAAGGACCCTTCTCAAATGCGGTAGAACTTGCTGTGCTGCCAAAGGAGACGTCAGAGTCTAATCAGAGACCTAAACGCTTGGATGCGGGAGACTCCACAAGTCAGTAGCCGTGTTTTGATTACTGCTGTCGCAAGTACCGGGAAAAAAGATGCCTGTTTGGTTTAGCTTGTCACTGCTTTCTGGGCCAACCGTTCTGGTTTATGTGAGGCAGTCCTAACAGTGTAGCGTTTTCTTCTAAATGAGACCATCGTGGAATTGTAATCCCCCTTCAGCTCCAAACCAGTTTAATTCTTTTGCTCAGGAGTTGGAAGTTTGGCTTTTGGATGCGGATACGTAACTAGTTTGAATTTTACATCGATATCAACTTTGCAGCCGCTCTTCTCAGGCGCTTCCGTTAGCCCTTCGTTGGGCATTGGGTCAGTTAGAACCAGGCTGCCTGGCAGGGCGGAGATGGCTCCTCGAGTAAATCTGCTGGAATGTGCTGGTTCCTGGTATTCCAGCAACCCGAATCAGCCCGTCAGTCAGTGACACACCAGCCTGTGTTTGCACCCAAGAGCTCTGCCCCACCCGCAGTTGTTTGGGGAAGGCTGTGGGTTACCTCACGACATTAAGGTGACAGCAGTGGTTTCTCCGTGTAAGAGGGGCAGAGCGTGTTGTCTTTGTCTGACATAGAAGAGGATTTATCTTGGTGACTTGTTGCAGGTTTTAAAGCCATCTGGGGTGACAAAAGCTAGTAATTTTTCAGGTACATGAACCTTTTAACCTTTCCTGGTTGCTACACATTGCATTGTGATGAGAACACAGGGATTTTTCTTGCTCAGGTTTTCTCCCTTCTTGGAATTCAGTTATATTTTAGGCCTGAATAAGCAGCTAGGCTTATGCCCTCGGGATTAGGTTAATAGACAGACGATGTCAAAGCATGAATCAAAGTGAACCCTCCTAGGTGACAGTGGCTGGAATTCTCCAGGCCGTTCCCTGTAAGGAAGGTGTTGGAGAGAGCTCTGCTGCTCCACGCTGTAGGACACCGAAGAGGCTGGTGTGGGGAAGTCCCTTCTTCCCCTCCCACACCTGGACTGCATACACTCCTCCCTTTAGTCCACAAGTTTCATTTTCAGAAGTGTCAGAATGTATGACAGAGAAGGTCTGGGAGTCTCATGAAAAGGAAGCATTTGCCTCTGTGGTTGTGACTGTAATGCTGTTGATTTCCTGACAGGGAGCAGGAGGGTAACTCTCTGTATTTACTGACCCTTTCCATGTTCTTTTCTGCTGTAGTTTATTCTGACTATTACCACCTGGACCAGAAGTCAATGACTGGCATTGTGGTTGGCGTTTGCATAGCCTTGACCTGCATCCTGATCTGCATCCTGATCTTAATTTATCGCAGTAAAGCCAGGTATGTTTTTGTTCTTGAAAACTGAGCTCTCTGACTGCACTGATTCTGGGGACATGCCGCCTCCTCCGCGAGTGCTACGTTCTCTGAGGTACTCTGTCTCTTCACCTGTTCCTACCAGCGGTGGAAACAAACCACTTTATTGGCTTTTCCTACTCTACCTGAGTCCCCTCTCCAGTGAAAAGAAGGAAGAACCCACAGAGTGAGTCAGTGGTGCTTTGACAACTAAGTGTGAGGCATGGTTCCAAATAAAAGACCCCTTGTGAGTCAAATGAGCTGCTTTATGTCATCTGCTCCTCCTGCTTAACCCCCCTGCCTGCCCAGACCTGGTGTGCAGGGCTTTAACCTGCTGGCATTGCTGGGCAGGAGGAGCTCAGGCGGGGAGCCGTTCCATGGTGCAGTTTGTTTGCAGGGGCCAAGCCACCGTCTGCTCATCAGCTGCGATAGGGTATAAACTGGCCCAGTGACTCTGCTCGTAACCCTGGGAGCAGAACTAACAGAAGTTACTTGAAATAGTAAATTAAAAACCTGTCTGAACGTGTATTTTAGTAACAAGGGCGCTTTAGCATACGTGCAGGAAAGAATATGGATTGGGAGACAGTCTGTGTAGCACGGTAGAAAGGTCTCAATATCATTAGTGGTTACTTCTTCCAAGTAATATTCCTAATCATGACAATTCCTGTCTGCACACGAGCTCCTAGCCTACTGCGTGTGATTAACTGGAAGCAGATGTTATTTTCATCACAAGCAGTAACATTTAAATTCCATGAGCGTTAGGAGTACCATATAACAAAATGTAAATGCCAAGGAGATACCAATATTACTTGATTAATAATAGCTTTAAAGTTTATCCTTGGTTTTTGCATTTTCTTCCTGTGGGTCAATTTTATTCCTGCTTAACATTCTGTAGGAAAACATCTGCTCCTAAACCTGTGCAGCAAAGCACTGACCAGCTGTCACATACCAGCATCTCATTAGCCAGTGCTAATGAGGGGGAGAAGAGTGTCGAAGGAGTTGCAGAGAATGAAGAATCCTTATTGCCAGTGGTGGTGGGAAACAGCTTCATCGACGCTAAGGTACTGTGACTTTTACTCACTCCCAGAGCAGAAATCTTTCTTTAGGACTCATTGCTAAAACACCTGAGTCCTTAGCAAAGGTAAAATACGTACGCTACACATCCACAGCAGGTTTTTTAATGGGACAAGCAGTAGTTTGGTAATCCGGGGAGAAATCTTTAAGATGCATGTTGAAGTTCAGGTGGAGATTGGGATCGGTGCGCTTGTCCCACACCCTGCTCTGCAGACTGCGGAGCTGGCTCTGGCACAGCATCAGGGGATAAAAGCTCCACAGGCTTAGGGCTGCTATGTGGCCTCTGCTCCTCCAAGGACGTGGGTGAGAGCCCTTGTCAGCACCTCGTTCTGTAAGTGCCTGTGCACAATCTGGTCAGGTATGACACTCATGTTAAAGAAAATCTTATTTTTTTTACTGGCAAGCAATGTTACATTTTATAACTCATATTTGGTCAAGCTATAAATTAATCTAGATGGCAGGATGTGTCAGTGGATGTGGGAAATCTTACAGTCCAGTGGTCCAGGGTGACAAAACCACATTGGCCTTACTGTCACATGCAGACACACTGACTGAGGGCGTGTTCTGTGCATACTGCAAACCTGAACAGAGCTGTGAGGATCTGTGCCAGAGCTGGGAAATGGGAATGGACCCTAGCACAGGCACAGACCAGACTGTGAATGGTCACATTCCAAGCCGTCGTGCGGTGGTTGTCATATTTTGCTCTGTGTGTGCACTGTCGTAGCCATTGGGTCTGGCCTGTGGGCTTGGCAGGTGTAGTGGGTCTGGTCTACCTTGTCTTGAGCGGCAGATGAATGCCAGGCCGCAAGCACATGACTGAGCACTCAGACTTTGTTTGTCTTCCTTTTCAGTATGGAGCCAGTTGGTAGGAGTAGCAAAGTATTCTGGAATATCTTCATTTATTGTTAAAATTAATGTCTGCGTGTCTCCCTCGATTGTAGGGGGGGTCTGATCTGATTATTAACAGCTACGGGCCTGTCACAAAGGCTAACTGCAAGAAGAGGTGGCTGTTCTTCCAGGATACTAAGAAGATGAAGACTGAGGAGGTAATTGGTCTTAACGGGCAGAGATGTGCAGTCTTCACTGCCATACTCCGTGTGTGCAGGGAGGATATGTGGTTTTCTCTTTATGGAAAGGCATAGTTACTGGTCTAGGTTTTAGCTGGATAGCTTCAGTTCTGGGAAGGTTGGTGGTGTTCTACCTTGCAGTAAGGTCTCCTTTCCTGCCCGGAGCTGTCCGATACTGTAACTCCTGGCAGCTAACAGGCTGCTTTCTTGCCTCTGCCCCTTTGTCTTGGAGCAAAAGGATTTCTGTGGACTGGGTCTGTGCACAGTACTGCACCTGCAGGAACTTTGCATAGATATCAGTACAAATTAAAGATGCATTTGTAAATAAAACTCACATAAACATTTAAAGAATCCCCTCCTGCCCTGACAGCTGAACTTGGTTTGCTGAAGAGAAACCAAAGGAGGGAAATGAAATCATTTACACAAAGTACAGAAGAACTGGAGAGTCCGAGCAGAACTGTCCGGCTTCTGGAATTGGTGCTCTGGCCACATTGGCTATTTGGATGAGAGAAATAACAGTTTAAAACGGAGGTGTTAAAGCAAATCCTACGAACATTATCATGCAAATGGACACCTACTGGGCATCCAACTACTGTTTATTGAATTGTGGCTTGTATTGTGCCCTTGTGTGTTTAAGAATAGGAAGTCTTGATATCCATGGTGTAAATCCGTATTCCAGAATATTTCCAGAAGCAGCTGCATGTTTCTGATGCCCTGTAAGCGAAATGTGTGCTGCCACCCAGGGAGTAATGCTTAAAGAATATGCATGAAGGGATGGGAGAGAGTGTGTTTTTAAAATACCATTTAGGTCTCTCCAGTGAAACCATCATTCTTGATTAGCCATGCTTAGCTAGAAGGGATTATTTCATCTATTATGGAAGAGAAAAGTATGAGCAAGGCTTGAGATTGATTCCTTTTAACCTCCTGTAGGAAAGCCCAGATTGTTCCGAGGCAACGCTGTTAGCGGCACTCTGGCAGAGTAGAAGACAGGCAGTGCAGTAAGAATTCAAATTACAGCTCAGCTGTTCCGAGGCTCAACACCTTTTTCTCTGCTTTCCACGTAGCCTCAGAGAAGATTTGTCCAGGCGGCGTGTCTCTATCAGCCGGGCACGGCTGTGCTGGTCACTGAGGACGACTCCCCCGGCTCTCCTGGCCAGCAGTCTAATTTCCAGGTGCCGTTCAGTATCGCGGCCGACACGGAGCATTCGGCCAACAGCGAAGGAAGCCACGAGACTGGCGACTCCGGAAGATTTTCTCACGAGTCCAGTGATGAGATACACCTCTCCCCTGTGACAAGTGCCACCCCTCCCACCACCAGTCCTTTCGTAAGCAGTGAGTTGGGTACGAACACGACGAGCCCTGCCGCAAGTAGCTGCACAGAGCCTCCTCTGCCCCTGGCTGCTGGCCAGACTCCTACCTCGCCTCCTCAGATACACGCTGCGCAGCAAAACGGCCACCCTTAGGGCCACGCCAGACGTTCTTGCAGCGTGCGTCTGTTTGAAGGACAACGAACAGGGAGCCAAAGTTCCACTGTGGAAAGCCTGACTGACCTCGCAGGTGACCCCACAGTTCTGTTGAATGTGGTTTTTTTGGTTTTTGGGGGGGTTGTTTTGTTTGGTTTTTTAAAACTCACTCATTTTGAATGTTCAGTGGTCAACAAATGTGAAAGAACAGTGAAGCTTTCTGACTAAAGTTAAAACTGTGTCACTGGAGCAAAGGGAAGGCTGTTGGCCCTTTCGCTGACTATCTACCTCAGTTTGCCGAGAGGCGAACTCCGAACGACGACTGCTTTACCTCACTTGTGTTCTCGCTGGTCTCAGCTGTGGGACCGACGATACTTCCTAGGAGCGTTGGTTTATTTTGGGTTTCTTCTGTGTTGTTTGTTTTCAGCTGTGTGTAGAATATGTGTGTGTGTGTGTGTGTGTGTGTGTGAGCACGTGCGTGCGCTCAGTGATCAGGGAGTTGTATCGGTAGGTGAACAAGATTGTTTGGCTGAAGCTCTGTCTTTAAAAAGAAGGAAACCTCAGAGTATAAAATGTACTGATTTCATGTGGTTGACACAGAGGACGTTAAAATCTGGGATAACTGGAATTGGTGCTTCCACGTATACAGCCACATGAAATCTTTCCTACTGCTTGATGTCTCATAACCCCAGTAAGCCTGGGACAGTGCCTTTTCCCCGGAAACTTGTACCAGCAACTGCTGACAGGATGTGTGCTACATCCTTAGGGCTCTGGGACATGTTGGGTTCCCCACAGTGACAAACGCTGTCCCTTGGTTGACGGTTAATGCTAAAAAGCATGGCAAAATGAGGAAGAATTCAGCATTTCCACCAGCTGGCTCTGCCTGAGAGTCATGGCATAGATAATACTGCTGAGTCTTCCCCTATCACAATACTTGGTAGCAATGGTGCCTTGCATTATATATTATGAAATTACTGATTTGCCTTATGCCTTTTTAGTATTCATAAATTGCTTTGGCGTACAGAAAGATGCCTTAAATGCTTCTTAGATGTTTCAAGTAAGCTGTATCATGAGTTTATAGTTCATTTTTACCCGGCTTCGAGTCCTGGTAAGCACTGCTGGCATCATGGTGTGTCTCAGAGCTGTTGTTAGGATGCAGCCCTGCTTCTTGCCCTCGCCTAGTGTGCTGTTAGCCAGGAATTTTAGCTCAGGGAGTGACTTTGCCCACATGCGGATCTAAAACTCTGATTAGGCTACCATGAGAAATAAAAAAGCCAGAGCTTTAGTTGAAGGGTCTGTTGAAAGAGGTGAGTACTGCTACTGCCTTGAACCCATGCAATTCCTGTTTTATACTACCTCCTTAAAAAGTTATTCTAGTGTTTTTTGGATTTTGTTGTTGTTGTTTTTTCCTGTACTCAGGGAACAGTTTGTTACTTTTGAGCTGCCTCACGGAAACGTGGAGCAAACTGACAGGGTATCGTGTTTTGTTTTTTAATAGGAGAGAGGGAGAAAGAGGGAGGAGGTTGGAATCATCCAATGTTATAAACTTGCCTGTATCTATATCCAGTCCTCTTCTCCATTCCTCCCCTTTCTGTGTTTTACTTAAAAAAGGAAAAAAAAAAAAAAAGAAAAGAAAAGAAACCCCCCAGGCATACGTTTTTACCTCTGTAGAGGCGTTTAAGGTGTGATGCTGTGAGAAAGCAGCCACAGGAACTCCCGGCTCTACGAAGTCTGTCAGAGCCCCTGTTGGCTTTTCCGGGGCCGAGACGTCCCCCTTGGGGTAGGCCAGGCTGACCTTGGCATTGTTCCTCGCCTACCAGAGGGTGGCCAGAGGGGCAGTAAGCCCTGCTGTTCTGTCTGTTTGGTGCCGGTGAACGGCCCCGTGGTCACCGCAGCTCTTCACCTTGTCGCTCTTGGCTAGTTCTGGACCAGACAGTACACACTCACCTTCTGGCAGCAGTGCGATTCAAACGCTCGACGAGGGGTCTCGTGCCAAAGACTTTTCTGTGGGAGGGCAGGAAGCCACCGCTGGCCACAGGTAACGGAGCTAGTCAAAAGCTGTAGGTGTGAAGAGCTGAATGCATCTGATTGCCTGAGCAGTGACTAACAAAAACCAGTAGGGCTTCTGGAGTGCAGTGGCTGTGGCAGAGGTGAGTTGTGTGCTTCCACAACTTCAGCTACCTTGTTGTTACAAGAGCTTTTACAGAAAGGTATAATAATGCCAGCAGATATCTCCAAAGACTTCCCAGTGGAATTTTTTTTCTCCAGCACGTAGTTGATCAACAGTCCAGTATTAAAAAAAGGATATTTTTGAACAGTTTTTTATCTACTTGCTGAAGAAAAAGAAAACCCTTTCACCAAAGATTTATTTTTGGTCTCGTCAGGCAGAATGTTTAGTGTACAGCGGAGTACTGTTTCTAGTTAGGCAAAGTGTGGATTAATCAAATCTAGAGTAAGAATGTGTAACTGTAGCATGAAGTTTCACACTTCATCTTTCAGAGTAGCCTCTTTTGTTCGTGTCACTCAGAGAGAGCTGATATGCGGGTGGTAACTGCTTCTCCAAAGACTTGTTTGCTGTAAGTACTGATAATTGGATGTAATTTTATGACCTTCGTTACAGGACAATACTTTAAATACTAAACTCTGTCTTCCAGAGACCCACCCATGGATCATTTGAGAGAAACAGGCTCCGTACAGGGCTTGGCAATCCCACAGAGGTGCTCTAACTTCAGTAGCCAGAGTTGAAATTATTCAGTGTATGAGAGAGCCAGAACTCTCTTCATCACTTCATGTTTTATTAAGGTACTTTCTATCAGCAAATAAAGAAAACCAAAGATATTTAAGGTTACCTCAGCGTATAGGCAAGCTTAGTTAGACATTAATTATTCTGTCTTTTCTTTATTTTTATGTTAACCAAATATAATATGTTTCTCCAGAACCCAGTCTACGTTCATGTGCTTCCCTTCCTTTTGTCACAGTCATGATTGCTACAGAACAAAGAATGTGTTCTCCTCCAAGTTCCTGGCCTAACACTAATATATCACAAGATTTTGGGAGAGAAAATTTGTCTTATGATTGGCAGCTCCACCAGTGTAAGCCAAGATGCCTCCAGAAAAAACTGTGCAGAAATGGATACTTTCTCTGTTGAACTCAACAGCAGAATCAGTCCCCATGACTGTAACAGTGCAAAACTGGGCTCAGAGTTTAAAGGCTTCGTATCCTTGAAGCCAACGCATGTAATTATGGATGTGATATTACAGATAATCATTTTCCTAAAAGTTTATATCTGTAGCTGTCTAAGGAAACCGGTTTTTAAATGTTGTTCATGCCATTTGCCTGGAAGGAGCTGGCAGAACACAGCAGGCAGAGAGGTTTCAGGTTTTCCTGTATTTTTTTCTTGGTTATGTCTGTAGAATCTGGGTCCTGGAGAAAAAAATTATCATTTTTTACTTATGAATTTTACTAAGTATGTTCTGGAAGATGAACATAAATGTGGACTTTAGTGTTACACTATGTGAATTGATTTTGTTGAAGTGTATTAAGAACTAAGGAGCCGTGGCTGGTGTAATGGGTGTATATGCAACCCCTGTGCTTCACAGAGGAAGCAGAATTGTTAACTGTTGCTGTGACTTGAAACCAAGGAAACCTTGAAACTGGCTTAGCGTGCTGACCGTGTTTCCCAGAGAGGACCCTGCCCTTCGGCTGCACCAGCAGTGCCTGCTCTGCAGGCCCTGGTCCAAAACCACATGCTCGGTCTGCCCGCAGTTACACGTGCGTACTTGCTTTGGAGCCAGCCAGTCAAAGCGTTCCCCTTTTTCATGGGCCATCTAGGAGCATGGGGAGTGTGCGTGCTGTGTGGAGCAGGGCCTGTCGGCTGGGGCTGTTTAATACCTCTGCTTTTGTGAGAGAAACTGAAAAACCTGCCCCCCACTTTTAATAATTTCCTGTACTAGCTGTGCATTTTCTGTGTAACTTAGGAGATTGGAACAGAAAAGAGAATCAAGAGATTTCTTTACTCATTTTGTACTTACTCTTCGTAGCTCGTTCCCTCTTTGGTTTTGTTCTCTCTCTTTAGACTATGAGCTAAACCTTATTTGCCTGATTCAAGGCAGGGTCCTCAGCCTGTTCCGTTTTAAGTCAGTGGGAGAATGGATTTTATTTCAGTCTGCACGGTGTGGGCAGGCAAAATCCGCTTCTGTTTGCTTGCTGTTTACATCGTCACAGTATTACTGTTTCTGCGGGACAGAATTCTTGCGCGGTTAAAACTCCCCTTGGCAAATGGGCATCTGTAAGATAAGTGAGCAGGCAGCAGAGGCCCGCCGTAACTCTCCATGCGTCCAGTCTTGGCCTGGAGTAAACACTGAGTATTTCAAGTCACTTTACCTCTTTCATTGCAAACTAAGTCAACTTGAATGACTCACACTTGCTGCAACCAACACATGCCTAGTTACCAGGGGCTGCTGGGACTCAGGAACGTGTCAGCCCGCAGGTGAGGAGCTCTTGCTCGTTTTATTCGCTACAGAAGTCGTTCAGCAAAGTCCATCCCCTGAAATGGGGAACGTGGGCTGGTTGTGTTGAGCCAAAACCCTCACTGACACCAGCTGCCAAGAGCTGCACAGGTGTCACTGGGGCTGTTTCACAGAAATCTGTTTGCTGAAGTTACGCCGCTAAAGTGGAATCGCAGCAAGATTATTCCTTTGGAATTCCTCTAGATTTCCGCTGAGAGTGGGCCTAGCTGACTCAAAGGGAGGCCAACACGTGCCTAACGCTCTGCTGTGCTGGGCCCTCCAGTTCCTTGGCGAGCTGTGCTCCTTCGGGAAGTTTTCGGCTTTTTGTGGTTGCATATACACCCGCTGCACCTGCCTGGTGTGTGTTGAG